TCCACAGCAACGCAGTGAGTGTCCGGCTGGAGAGCTATTTTTAGATTCGCACCACCCCCCACCCGCCACCCTGCCTGACTGCCTGTTTTAGCTCATAAAATTCATACAAATTACCCAGCCAGAATATAGTTTACATTGCTGGAATTCTTATAATTTGGTGATCATTTTGAATATAAACAACATATTTTTTGCATTAAACATACAATTTTTAGATAAAATGTTTAATCTGAGTAAGTATGTTATCTTTTGTCCAAAATATATGACATTTATATTCAAAATATTCCTGGTCTTATAAGGAATCCAGCAATGTCAATTATATTATCCTAACTTTAGTTTGAGGTATTATTTATTAAAATTTAGTGGTTATCCCACACATCTCCTTGGGACGGTTGGTGGGGGGTGGGGGGGGAGGGAGGGACCAACCGACCGACCATCTGGACCAACCGACCGACCATCTGTTACCCGGTGAAGAATTATTTTTTTTTAACTGAAGATATTTGTTTTAGCTCATAAAATTCATACAAATTACCCGGTCAGAATATAATTTACATTGCTGGAATTCTTATAATTTGGTGATCATTTTTAATATAAACAACATATTTTTTGCATTAAACATACAATTTTTAGATAAAATGTTTAATCTGAGTAAGTATGTTATCTTTTGTCCAAAATATATGACATTTATATTCAAAATATTCCTGGTCTTACAAGGAATCCAGCAATGTCAATTATATTATCCTAACTTTAATCTGAGGTATTATTTATTACTAAATGTTAAAAACTCTTGAATGGAGGATTGGTGGGGGGTGGGGGGAGGGTTGGGACTGACCGCGCGGTTGGAAGAGGGGGGGAGGCAAGGTGGGGTACTTTGATTGACAGATAGTGTTGAAGAATATATTTTTTTTTTTATTAACTGTAGATATTTGTTTTAGCTCATAAAATTCATACAAATTATCCGGCCAGAATATAATTTACATTGCTGGAATTCTTATAATTTGGTGATCATTTTGAATATAAACAACATATTTTTTGCATTAAACATACAATTTTTAGATAAAATGTTTAATCTGTGTAAGTATGTTATCTTTTGTGAAAAATATATGACATTTATATTCAAAATATTCCTGGTCTTACAAGGAATCCAGCAATGTCAATTATATTTTCCTAACTTTAGTTTGAGGTTATCCCACACATCTCCTTGGGACGGTTGGTGGGGGGTGGGGGGGAGGGAGGGACCGACCGACCATCTGTTAGCTGGCTGTGTACTGTAGTGTGAGAGGGGGAGGGAGTTGAGTCCATTATTTGAATGGACATTAACTTGGCGACTGTATTTCTCTTAAGTATTAATTGTGTGCATGTACCATCATAAAATTAAGATGTTATTTTTACTACAACATAGTTATTTGTCGTCAAAAAGTGGAGTTTGGGGGTCGGGCTGGGTTCTATTGGAATTAATCCCATATGTTCTGTTATTCACTTAACACGGTTTTCACTTAACGCAGGACCCTCTGGGTTCAATTGAGCTGAATTAAGTGAGGAGTCTAACTGTAATAATAATAATAATAATAATAATAATAATAATAATAATAATAATAATAATAATAATAAAGAAATACAAAATGAAAAAAGATCAAAAGTGAGAAACAATATATGTATGTTGTGTTGTCAATAGTTAGAGAAACACTGCAAATGTGTGTAAATGAGGCAGAAAGTCAGATCAGCAACCTGGGACTTGGTTACAATTTTCATGATGCCATGTGGCAACAGGGTCTACCATAGACAACACATTATGCTTCCAATATCTTCCCAGGCGGTAGTACCTCCCTGTTTGGTAGCTGCCTACTACCTACTGATAGTATATGTCAAGTGCTGACTCCAAAAATTTGCTTCAGTGAATAATATCTCAAATGAGTGTGTGTGTGTGTGGTTAGGTAGCTTGTGCCGCACTAACACACTGACCCTAAACGACTTTAAGTACCTTAAATAAGTTATAAAGTTAAATAATTTCATAAAATAATGTGAAATCAAATGATTCTAAGGTATATATATATATATATATATATATATATATATATATATATATATATATATATATATATATATATATACATATATATATATATATATACAGTGGGGTATGCTATAACGAACGGATCCTACTACGAATATTCCTATAACGAACAGTTTTACCTATAAAATTGAGAATGTTATAACGAACGCAACTCCTACAACGAACGCGGATGAATACGGGACTATTTCGTCTGGCGCATGAATATTGTTGTACCGCGGCTCACAGCAAGAGCATCAGGTGCCATATTGGTTCATATATATATATATATATATATATATATATATATATATATATATATATATATATATATATATATATATATATATATATATATATATATATATATATATATATATATATATATATATATACAGTATATATATACAGTCAACCCTCACTTTACGCGGTCCCACATTCTGCGTTTCCACGTTTACGCGGTGCCCTGCCAGAACCCAGGATGCTCACATTCCGCGGTGGGTGTACCCCTTTACACGGTGAAGTATAATTTTTTTATTTAGCTCATAAAATTCATACAAATTATCCGGCCAGAATATAATTTACATTGCTGGAATTCTTACAATTTGATGATCATTTTGAATATAAACATCATAGATTTTGCATTAGACATACAAATTTTAGATATAATGTTTACTCTTGAGTAAATATGTTATCTTTTGTGCAAAATATATGATATTTATATTCAAAATATTCCTGGTCTTACAAGGAATCCAGCAATGTCAATTATATTATCCTAACTTTAGTCTGATTTATTATTTATTACTAAAAAGGTAAACAGTCTGGTATTCCCACACATTTATCTAGTAGGGACGTTGGTGGGGGGTGGGGGGGGAGGGAGGGAGGGACCGGCGACCGACCATCTGTTACCGTGTGAAGAATATTTTTTTTTTTTATTAACTGAAGATTTTTATTTTAGCTCATAAAATTCATACAAATTACCCGGCCAGAATATAATTTACATTGCTGGAATTCTTACAATTTGATGATCATTTTGAATATAAACATCATATATTTTGCATTAGACATAAAATTTTTAGATAAAATGTTCACTCTGAGTAAGTATGTTATCTTTTGTGCAAAATATATGACGTTTATATTCAAAATATTCCTGGTCTTACAAGGAATCCAGCAATGTCAATTATATTATCCTAACTTTAATCTGAGGTATTATTTAATACAAAATGTTAAAATTTATTTTTTTCACCCACTCTTTCTCTTGAAGGGAGAGGTGGGGGGTGGGGGGGAGGGTTGGGACTGACCGTGCGGTTGGAAGAGGGGGGGAGGCAAGGTGGGGTACTTTGATTGACAGATAGTGTCGTGAAGAATATTTTTTTTTTATTAACTGAAGATATTTGTTTTAGCTCATAAAATTCATACAAATTACCCGGCCAGAATATAATTTACATTGCTGGAATTCTTACAATTTGGTGATCATTTTGAATATAAACATCATATATTTTGCATTAGACATACAAATTTTTAGATAAAATGTTTAATCTGAGTAAGTATGTTATCTTTTGTGAAAAATATATGACATTTATATTCAAAATATTCCTGGTCTTACAAGGAATCCAGCAATGTCAATTATATTATCCTAACTTTAGTTTGAGGTATTATTTATTACTATACCTGGTTTTTCCCCCAAAATTTCTCAGAGGGAAGAGCCAGCAGTGTAGTGTGAGAAGAGGGGGAGGGAGTCGTGTCCATTATTTGAATGGACATTAACTTGGCGACTGTATTTCTCTATTTCTCTTAAGTATTAATTGTGTGCATGTACCATCATAAAATTAAGATGTTATTTTTACTAGAACATAGGTATTGTGTTGGAAAAAGTGGAGTTTGGGGGTCAGCTGGTCTCTATTTCATTTAATCCCATATGTTATGTTATTCACTTTACGCGTTTCTCACTTTCCGCGGTACCCTGTGGGTTACATTAACCGCGTAAAGTGAGGGTTGACTGTATATATATAACTAAACTTTATAAGAGTCACTTACAATGTGATGGTCCTGATAAACCCTATTCCTATTAATTATGGAAATTAATTCTCATTTATAAGTAGTTTCATTATCAGTGGCTCTTTTTGTGGTCCCAATTAACCACCTATTATGAGGACCCCTTGTAAAATATTAAACCAACACTCACTGGTTCAGAGAACCACGTCAATCGGTGGTCAAAGTCTCTCATAAAGATTCATGAAGCTCTATTTTTCTTAAAGTAAAGGATAATACAGTAGCTGCATAACCTCTATGATAGCCTGTGTGTACATGATCTAGGCAGCCAAACAGCCAGTATACTGTACAGTACTTCACTTACTGACAGGCCAAGAGAGTCCATCAATGTAAAGCCTTCAATAATAATATCTTCAGGTCTAAGCACATTCAGGGCTTATATACACACACTTGGTAAATGTGAGTGTATAACTGACACCATCAGACATGCACTTGAGTTATACAAAACAAAAAAAAACATTAACACTTGCACAATTAATAAACACAGCTGCAAACACTAAACACCTCATACAAAGAATGAACTTGTTAATAATGGACTGAGAGCCAACACTGCAAACCTATAAGAAATAACACCTCAAAAAAAAAAAAAAAAACATAGAATAGTACAGTGTGAGGGAAGAGATGTGCAGTGTGAGTCCAGGCTTATGGTGAGAGAAACTCAAGCTAACTGGTTCTGGGTTATTCCAGTCTCAATGTTGACTTTTTACCTTAACAAAACAACTCCAAGCTAGCTGGTTCTGGGTTCATTCCAGTCTCAATGTTGACTTTACATAACAAAACAACTCCAAGCTAGCTGGTTCTGGGTTCATTCAGTCCAATGTTGACTTTACCTTACCAAAACAACTCCAAGCTGGCGGTTCTGGGTTCATTCAATGATCTCTCAATGTTGACTTTGTAACAAAACAACTCAAGCTGGCTGGTTCTGGGTTCATTCAGTCTCAATGTTGACTTTACCTTAACAAAACAACTCAAGCTGGCTGGTTCTGGGTTCATTCCAGTCTCAATGTTGACTTTACCTTAACAAAACAACTCAAGCTGGCTGGTTCTGGGTTCATTCCAGTCTCATGTTGACTTTACCTGACCAAAACAACTCAAGCTGGCTGGTTCTGGGTTCATTCCAGTCTCAATGTTGACTTTACCTGACCAAAACAACTCAAGCTGGCTGGTTCTGGGTTCATTCCAGTCTCATGTTGACTTTACCTGACCAAAACATCATAATCAGGTCAGGAACTTTTGATTCATAAAACACCATTCACCCGGGTGAGTTGTTGTTTATGCAGTGATCCAGTAGACCAGCCCCAAGAAAACATATAGTAGCTCTGTTAGGTTGTTCTGACAGGTGATCTTAAACAGAACCTGGCGAGGGATTTGTTACCAATAAAAAAATTCCTTTATACAAAGAAAAAACATAGAGAAATAAAACTTTTGTTATGTACATATCCATAGGTGTACAATACACACACACACACACACACACACACACACACACACACAGTTCAAGTAGTAAATCTGACAATACTAATAATACAGTAATGGTGAAAACATGAAAAGTGTACAAGAGTAGCAGAAGGACTGATGAGAGAGGCACTACCCTGCTGGCTGTATGTACAGTACAGTATAATGACCCCAGTCGTGCCTCACCTACAGCCCACTATGATAACATATTATCAAATTTGCAGCAACCAAAAAGGACCACTACATTATGAACTCAAGATAATCCTTGTGATAAATTATCACACAGCAAATTAATGAGTTCCATTATAAAGTTTATAAAATAATTGTAAAGAAAAAGTTATATTTTAGTTAGATTTCTGCATCATGCACTCTACCAAGTCTTTGGTCCCGTCCATGGAAAATAATTAGCTTTTCAGTTCATATAGATGCACTGACATGAGATCCACTGGAATTAAAAGTAAATATTAAAAATTCTGAGACTGCAGGTATTCAATATCATTTCACATAAACTGGACCCCAAATATAAAATAATCACTACAAGGTAATAAAAAATTTGTACCACTAAAACCAGTATTTTCTAGTATTACTACTGTACCTGCATCACCAATTTATTCTGGAATCATATATTCAATGTGACCAAAATTAAAAAAAGAATTAAACTCTAGTGAAGGCTTATCATATTCTTCTGATCATTTGGGTCAACTGAAGATCATGCTTAATAAAAATACTTGGTTTTGACTCAACCATTCATATATAGTACAGTATCTTACTCTAACACAGTACAGTCACTCATTTCCTCAGCATCACTCTTCTTCCTCTCCACCTCTGTATCATCTGCTTGCATTGGCATCCTTACGACGGTTTTCTCGTAAATAGGATTCTGGAAGGTGTCAAATTTGCGCCCGAGTCCTAGCCTAACCGGGTACCTTTTACGGTATGCAACTACACAAATGATGGTGACAATGATAAGGCTACAGAGACCTGAAGCACCGATGATGACATAGAGAGTTGTGTCATCTTCCAAAGACAGATTAAATAATCCAGCAAATATTCCGCCGTCCTCTTCTTTACTAACGTTCACGATAACCATACCTCCCCCGAATGAGCTCGTTGAATTTTCTACTTGCGAGTCCATGGAACCATTTTCATAGGCGTCCAGATCCGTCACGGACTTATTGTTCTGCATCTCCTCCTCCAACGCCTCCAATAATTCCTTGAGGTAACTTTCATCATCTTTGTTTTGGTCCTCCAGTACGTCTTGCTCTGGTAATATTGTTATGGGCTGAAACAAACAAATTTTATTTGTAAGTGTACACATTCTTATACAGTACAGTATATTTCAAAACTAATAAAACAACAGTAATTTACTCAATATAAATTTTTTATATGTAAAGAAAAAGTAAAAAAGAATAAAGGAAAGATCTATAATAAATAAGTCATTATTCCTGATGCAAGCACACACACACACAAGCAAACAAACACACATACACACACATCTGACTTCACTCATATGTCATCTGACTTCACTCGAGGAAGGGTCGCAACAAATTAGCTCCTGGGATTAACAGGATTGTGGGGCTGAAGAAGGTAGATGTGAGACAGGGAGAGTCTGTGTCCAATGACAACACAGGCCAGTGGAAGGTGGTGAAGAGAGGGGTGACAAGACTGGTCGTGAGGAAGGCCAATTTTGCAGCTAAGTGTACTAACTCCTTTAGTTCTTTGGAGGACGAAATGGATGGTCAGATAGTTAAGGACAAGGTTGACAAGGAATATAAGAAAACCCTAATTGTTGGTGATTCTCATGTAAGGTACCTAGATCAGACTTTTTGTAAGAAAGACAGAAATGGGATGAGAGTGTGTTTGCCAAGAGCTGGGGTGGGGCATATAGTTGACGGGATGGACAATATCTTGTCTGGTAATAAGAAGAAACTCATTATCTGCCTCAGTGCAGGAGGCAATGATATTGGCCAGTGTAGGAGTGAGGAGCTCCTTGATAAATTCATGGCAGCTATCGAATGTATTAAGATGAAGGAAGTTGGCAGTGAACGGTTGTCAAGGGCAGTTGGTGTCAATGGCCATTTTGACAGATACTGCAAATCAATAACAGTCCCATTCATTGACAACTGGGTTATGCTAGGGATGGGGTACATTTATTTAAAGATGGGGCGGCAACCCTGGCTGGCTCTCGCGAGAGGGCAATGCAAAAGATGTTGAAGTCTTTAAACTGCTAAGAGGACATGTGAGCATGGGGATTGAGGAGACTGTAGTGTGCACAGGGATACACATTGAAAAGTTACAGAGAACTCATGCTAAAAATGACAATAAAACTAAATTACAGATAAAACCAAAATGTTACAGAGAGGACTCGGATTTAAATGTCTACTACGAGAACAGTAGAAGAATGAAAAATAAAATGGATGAAATCAAGGCGTTGGTATGTTCGGAAAAAATCAATGTAATAGCAGTCACCAAAACATGGATTAACTTGACTCACATGAGTGAGAGTCAAAATAGAACTTAATGTCAGTCACAAGGGCAAACTTTGATAGGTTGTAAAGGCAGCTGAGAGGAGTATTACATTTGGGGGAGAATTACATGACCACACGAGAGGGTGTAAATAATATGACCTAACATAATGTATCCAGCTGACATGACCATGAGTTACGAGGTTGATGAGTACCATAACAATTTAAATACTATAACAAGTTACTTAATGCACAAAGGCAGAATATACTATACAGAAAACTCAGATCAAACAACAATGACCCCAAATGGATAAATAATTATTTAAAGAATATCACAGGACAAAAGAAGGCTATAGGTAGGAGAATCATTCGTGGTGAAGTTTACCTCCTTGATTAAAACCGAGATAAGAAAAGCAAAGAGGAATAATGAACTGAAGGTAACAAGGAAGGCAAAGTTAAACCTCAAGGGATTCTTCCAAATGTATCAAACTAAAACTCGAGACAAGATTGGACCAATAAAGTCAGATACCGGCGAGCTATCTGAAAACGATGGAGAAATAAGCAATAATCTGAACAGGTATTTTTCATTAGTTTTCACCACCTAAAATTTAAACATGATGCCCGAGGCACTGACTATATACAGAGATAGTGAAGAAAATAGATTACGCGACATAGTAGTGACTAGTAACGATGTTAGTAAACAATTAGAGAAACTAAAGCCTAATAAGTCACCAGGCCCCGCCGAGATATTTGCCAGAGTATTAAAGGCATGTAAGGAGGAACTTAGTTATGTATACCCTTAGCAAATTTGTTTAACATGTCCTTAAAAAAGGGTTTAGTACCGGAATCCTGGAGGATAGTGAATGTAATACTGATTTTCAAGAAGGGAGATAAATCACTATCCACTAACTACTGTCCAATCAGTTTAACATCAATTGTAGGTAAATTACTGGAAGCAATCATTTCAGACTATTCGAAATCACCTGGAGAAGCACAAGTTGATCAATGATTCCCAACATGGCTTCACAACTGGGCGTTCATATCTGACAAATCTGTTAACATTCTTTTCAAATCCGTGGATGACAGAAACAATTTTGATGAGGTACAACTCGATTTAGCAAAGCCTTTGACAGAGTCCCCCACGAAGGACTAACACGAAAAGTGGAGGCTCATGGAATTGGAGGAGGTATTCTAAAATAGATTAGGGTGTGGTTACAGGACAGGAAACAGCACGTAAGCATTAATGGCACTAAATCCGATTGGGATAACGTCACTAGTGGAGTACCCCAAGGCTCAGTACTCGGACCATTATTATTTATTATATACATAAACGACATAGATATAATCACAGACAGCAACACATAATTAAATCTGACAAGGACTCAACAAAACTATAGGATATCTAAAACAAAAAATTTGCATGGTCTGAGAAATGGCAGATGATATTTAATGTAGACAAATGTAAAGTACATAATCTACGAGATGTAAACAGAGACACCAGATGTTAGATGAACAACGATGTTATAGAAAATCTGACGGTGAGAAAGATTTAGGGGTAATGATTAATGATTAGGAATCCTAAACCAAGACAATAATGCATACAGTATTTGCTCAAAACAAGGTTTACAAAGTACTCGGTCGGGTTCATACAAAGGAGTGTTAGTTACAAGACAAGTGAGGTTTTCCTCAAACTATATCTTGCGCTTGTGAGACCTCGCCAACGAAGGTGATATCCCTAATAACACGTATCATAGCAAAATGATCGTCATACTTGATTCCGAGTGACAGCAAAGTAGTAGTAGTAGTGGTAGTAGCAGAGGGACATTAAAACAACTGAAAGAAAAACATCCCCCTGCAAGTAAAGGCAAAGGCATCAGGTTCCAGGGTGACTATATCCCACCAAATGCTGTCCTGTTTGAGAAAATAACAGGAGGGATGGTGTGGAAAAAGGCACTGAAGACTCAGGGAGGTGCCGGCCCTTTAGGCCTGGATGCAAACGGTTGGAGAGTCATCCTCAGCATTAACAAGTTTGGCCCCGTAGCAAGTGATCTCTGCATGCCATTGCCGCCCTTGCAAGAAAGCTAGCAACCTTGTGCTGCCAACACCTCCATGCTCTGACGGCCTGCCGCCTCATTCCCCTGGATAAGAATCTAGGATGTAGGCCTATAGTGGTGAGGGAAGTGCTGAGGCAGATCATTGGAAAATGCATAATGGGGGTGGTGGGCCTTCAAGCATTCAACATATAACATGAGAGCCACTTTTACTGCTGCTTTACATCAAGATCAACGTCAAACCAAATGTAAAGTACTCTAGTATAGGAGAGATGTAAACAGGGAAACCAGATACCAGATAGATATATGAAGAAATCGACTGCGAGAGCTTTGAATGTGATAAGTAGACATAAGCCAAGTAAACAATGTGTTTTTGCTCATAACAAAGGCTAATAAAGTGGGTTCTATACAAAAGTGTTAGTTACAAGACTACTTGAGGTCGCTCAAAACTGTATCTTTACTCTTATGAACCACACCTGAATTCGCCAGTTGGTTCTAGTCACCGTATTACAGAATGGATATAGAATCCTTGGAAAGAATTCAGAGGAGAATGACAAGACTAATCCCGGGCATTAGCAACCTTGAGTATAGAGACAGGTTAAAGCATCTTAATTTGCACTCCCTTGAGAGACGTAGAGCGAGGGGCGACCTGATAGAGGTGTATAAGTGGAAGGCAGGGCTAAACAAAGGGGACATTATAAAGGTACTCAAAGTATCCAACCAGGAGCGAACTCGTAACAATGGTTTTAAATTAGACAAATTTAGATTTAGGCATGAAATAGGTAAACACTGGTTTGGAAACAGAGTAGTGGATGAATGGAACAAGTTACCAAATATCATCATTAACTCAAATACGCTGAATTGCTTCAAACATGGTTGGATGTTCATATGAGCAATAGGGGTTGGGTGTAAACGGGACTGCCCAGTATGGGACAATAGGCCCGCTGCAGTTTCCTCCATTCTTATGTTCAGTGTCCAAGCTTTGCAATGTATGTTGAAAACACCTATAGGAATCCATCAGACCCCCCTATAGTAAACAACAAGGCTCTAAGAGGTGATACCATCATACAGTCAACTGAGGGAACAACACAAGGGGACCCTGTTGCAATGACAATGTACGCAATAGGCCTATCCGTGCTTCAACACACAATAAAATTTTAAATAACCGAGGTCAAGCAAGTGGCATATGCTGACGACCTTACAGGAGCAGGAAAAGTGGAGGACATCAAAAAGTGGTAGGACCTGATAACATCACGAGGTCCACAAATAGGGTACCACCCAAATGCCAGCACGTCCTTCCTCATTGTGAAACCAGAACATTATGAACGGGCAATGGAGGTGTTTGGTGGAAGTGAGGTCAAAATAACAAAGGATGGCCAAAGACACCTAGGCACAGTAATCGGCACGACGGACTTCAAGACCGAGTACGTAACGGGAAAGGTGAATGAGTGGGTTAGGGAAATCAAAGCTCTGTCTGATATTGCTAATACAGAGCCACATGCGGCTTTTGCAGCATTCACCCATGGAGTCAAGCATCGCTGGAACTAACTGATGCGCACTATCCCTGATATCGGACCCCTCCTCCACCCTCTGGAAGAAGCTACCAGTGTCAATTTCATTCCCAAATTAGTGAAACACCTTCACTTAACCCCAGCAGAAAGATCACTCCTTGCACTACCACAGAGACTGGGAGGAATGGGATTGACCAATCCAGAGGAGATTGCTGCCACTGAACATCAAAACTCAGTTCTCACGGCAGCCCTCAC